TAGAAAACAGCTGTTTTAAATTGTAATAATATTTCACAATATTACTGTTTTTACTGTATTTTTTATCAAATAGATGCAACTTTAATAAGTACTGTATGTATAATAATAATAACGTTTACACTAAATATATATATATATATATATATATATATATATATATATTGTTTTTAATCAAATTCAGTTTTTTTTTTAACATTTTGAAAAAACAAAGTAAATATTCATTTTGTTTTAAGCATGTTTAGATTTTTTTTCTGCTACTGGAATACATGCCAAAAAATATTGATTCATAAAAAATGCAGTGAAGAGATCTGGTTCTACGTGTTTATACACAATTTGATCTTGTGCAGCAGCTGACATCATGGTAATTTCTCAATGAAGACATCTAAAGTTCCTCACTTCATCACCTAAACAAACAAAACAGACCCTTGTGATTTTATACAAAATGTCCTGACATGCACTGCAGTTTTAACCTGTATTTTACATTGTTTTGGTTGTTTTTTTTTTAAATACCGATGATCTGCAGATCTAATACTTGTATAAATACATGGAGGTTTGAGTTTTGCACTGCCAGATTTGATAGTTTTTCCTGCTGTGTTGATCTCAATGAAATCCACTTTTTAATCTCTGTGTGTATCAGGGCAACATTCCTCTGGTATTAACTATTAAAAACATGCACTAAAATCAATGCTGTCCAGTCATTATTCAGCCAAAATGAACCATATTCAGTTTCTAATGTTCCATTTGAGAGGAATTTACTAAGCATTCAAACACTGTTGAATTTTGAAGTAATTCAGCTTCATTTATCTAGTTTGACAGTTAATTATGTGTGCATTCAAATACTCGGTAATTAGTGGCTGACTCTTTATTCAGTACTCTCTCATCTGCTGCTTTATTCCAGCACTGCTGCATTTGCATTATTATGCTGGATCTCTCTAAAAAGTGGCCACGGTTCCAGCTGTCGACCAATTTTTAGTTTAAATTCATATGCAAGAGCTCTTGGAAATTAAATATACCGCTGAATTTTGGCAAATCCAGTTTAATTTTATTCCCACCTTCAACCCAGCCTCTATACGATCTGTCCAGAGTCTCCAGGTGTCTGTTTAGATCCAGAAAACTCTCACAACTTTGGAAAGACTTTCTGAATTGTTAAAACTGCCAACTCTGATATATACTTAAACCATGAAGAAACAATTACTGCCACTCAGTGTCCTCAATTCTGACTAATTCTGACACAATCATGCATTAAAGGAACAGTTCAACCAAAAATTTTAAATTTGCCATCCTTGAGTTCAGGATGAGTTTGTTTCTTCATCAGGTTTGTAGAAATGTAGCATTGCATCAGTGTCTCAGCAATGGATGCTCTGCAGTGAATGGGTGCCGTCAGAATGAGAGTCCAAACAGCTGATAAAAACATCACAATAATCCACAAGTAATCCACACCTCTCCAGTCCGTCAGCTAACATCTGGAGAAGACAAAAGCTGAAACACATCCAGCATTAAGACCCTTTTAACTCCAATACCAGTCCATAATTCATAATAACGCTTTTAACATATTTAACAGCATATTTAACAGACCCCAAAAATATATAACCTACAGCTTGAGTAAAATAAATCATGTGTAAATCCAAATCTCAATTCATGTGTGAAGTTCCAAACAACTGAAAGAATGTTGTGTTGACATTAAATTTGATGAAATCTGAATATCAGAATATTCAGAATTAAGAATATTGATTATAAAAAAGAACTCTACAAAACATGTGACTATAACACATGCAACTAAACTAGGTTAAAAATTTAATAATAGGAACATTTAAAATGGTAACCATAAAAAAAATCTGTCTGCTCTCTAAACTATTTTAAAGCTTTATATTCTACCTCTATATTTTTCTCCTCTCACCCTTTCTTCACTCCACAGACTGAACTTCATGCCTCGACTTATTCTCTCTTGCCTTCCATCTGTGACTAGAATTTCCTGACTGCAGACTCATTTCTGTTTTCTAAATTATACAAATCAACTATAAAAATAACCAGTGAATGTCAATTTATTAAATTAATTTTGGTATAAGTATTGAAGTTTAATGTTGGCCCACTTTATCTAACACATTCAGCCAAAGTGGGCCAGCAATATTTCAACACCTTACAAGAAAATGTTATTCTTTGCATTTTATTCCCTGATGATGGTAGCATTGAATAAAACAGGCCCTGGCACAATAATGTTTGTTTACATTTAGAGAGCAACCTTAGGCCTGTAAGAAAAATCTTATGTCAGAGTTTTCTATAACTTTCACCTTGACACAGTCCTCCTTTGAGATGTGGCCAGACCCTCCAGTGTCATATTGCATCAACCAATACTATTTAATTCAGAACCATTGTTATGCTCTGAAAGTGTAAACCATTGAGCACAGTACAATCAAGCTTGAACGGCCCACTTTAGCTGAATTCACCCGAGAGACTTTAAATCAGAGTTCGCATCCAGTAGAGGAGCCTGTATGTGGAGTCATGTGATGGCCTGCAGGTGGCGCTGCAGACACTGTTATACTGTTTATTTATGCTTGCATCAAAACAAACATTACTTTACAAATGCTACACAAATATTTTACATCTATATTTTATTTACAGTAAAATGTGACCCTGCAGCACAAAAGCAGTCTTAAGTCGCTGGGGTATATTTGTAGCAATAGCCAACAATACATTGTATGGGTCAAAATTATAGATTTTTCTTTTATGCCAAAAATCATTAGGATATTAAGTAAAGATCATGTTCCATGAAGATATTTTGTAAATTTCCTACCGTAAATATATCAAAACTTAATTTTTGATTAGTAATATGCATTGCTAAGAACTTCATTTGGACAACTTTAAAGATGATTTTCTCAATATTTAGATTTTTTTGCACCCTCAGATTCCAGATTTTCAAATAGTTGTATCTCGGCCAAATATTGTCCTATCCTAACAAACCATACATCAATGAAAGATTATTTATTCAGCAAAAAACTGACCCTTATGACTGGTTTTGTGGTCCAATGTCATATATATAGGCTAGTTAAATGTAATATAGAGTATAATAATAATATAGTAAAATAAAATACAGTTAAAATATATAAAATGTACATTTAACATTAAAAAAGAAGAAAAAAAAATGAGTGTACTTGATATAGACGTGATCCCACAACCATTAATTTGCATTCCACAAGTTTCATTTTTAGTTTTATTTCTTTCTTTCTTTCTCTCTGTCTGTCTCTGTCTATGGAGCAGCTGTAGCACCTGAGCCTCCACCTCTTCCCTCCAAACCCGGCCCTCCTCTGCTGACTGCTGGAGTCATTCGTCAGTATTTGCAGGGTGGTCCTTCTGTTCATTGAGGAGGAGAAAAAGTGCGTCCAGATGCCAGTGAGGCACAGCTGTGCGGCGTCAACGCGGCTCAGAATAACGCGCTCTCTGCGCTGCGCAAAACTCCTTCAGCAGCGGCACACGCGATGCCACACGGTTTGGAGGAAACCCAGCAAACTCTGAAGAGCAGCATGAGCTCTCCTGTCAACAGGTAAGACGAGAAACCTGACGCGCAATCTGCTGCTCTGAGGGAAGTAAACCATGTCTGAGGAGAACTGAGGAACCTGGACTCTGAAGTTCTTCAGCCTTTGATTACCATGAGGACTAGACTAGACTAGACGGATCATGCGCTGCGAAAGACTCCAAAGCAAGAAGAGCCCTGGACGCAGATTTCTCTCATGCAGCATCTGTTGTGATATGATGATGGCCTCGGAGCTGGTGTGTGGACTCATCTTCAGACTGCTGCTGCCACTGGGCCTCGCCGCAGGTACGGCTTGCTTTACTCAGCCACCAAACTAATACAACACAAGTGTACTTGTAGAATTGGGTTTAAAAGTTTTATTAAATGCATATAAAGTTGGTAATTTAATTAAAAAGAAAAAGAGAGCATCATCTTAGCATAAGCTTCATCATAAGCTTAACGTTCAGTATATTTGTTAAAAAAATACGATGCATGCAGAGCCTAATATGATAAACCTGCCCAATGCTCGTTTATTCACATTTACAGTGATAAATGAGCAAACTAATCAGGTCTCGATTTAAGGTCTGGAGGTGAAGAAGTCTTTTTAAAAAAGACCCAGGACATAAAAAGCCATCAGTTATGATTTTATTATGAATTATGATTGATTCATTGATAATTTGCACGTCACAAAAACAGTTCTCTCACTAAGTAGGCCAAAGGTCAACATTATAGGCAAAATGCAGCCACATGATCAATTTGGATTTAACTAGTACAATGATTCACCTTGAAACTATATGCTTGTTTTACATATGAAGTTCATACTTGCATTATTACATTGAACTCTTTTTATTGCTGTTTTTGCTTTTGATCGGAATGGTGGTTGCAGTTTGATATTTTTTGTTGTTGCAACAAGTCTGTGAGCATTTAAGAATTCTAGCACCGATTTATGCAGTTGCTTTTCACCCAGAATTTTTAAC